CATTGGATTGCAGAGAGACACAGGATTGGCTGAGGCCAGGTGGTCCAATATGTCTGCGCCCTAATCCGACGCCACACCACGCCACACCACACCTCACCTCACATCACCACACAACAGTGTGATGTGTCTATTTGTATTACAGTTGGGGATCTATTCAAGTCCATGTGAGGACACAAGCTATAACGTAAGCTTGTTTAAGGTTGTACGGTTTTCTAATTTAATTTTTTTCGTGTTTATTTGGCTCTCTCTTATGGAATATGTTTTATCCAGACAAATTCCTTATTTTAAAAGAAAACAAATTGGATTTTAGAACTAGTATGCACTTAAGGCATGTAATCGGATTTTTTTTAAAAAGAAGTATTGTGATATAATGGATTTTGTCGTTCAAACGTCTGTGTTTCGAATATAACAGGTTTCAGTGGCTTGATCGAAATGTGTGCCTCCATGCAGACCTTCTGCACAGCAGTAGGTATATTTAAGTGTGCGATGAAAAAGGTCGACCTGTCATACCTTTTACGTGCCTATTTAATCTAACGATGAGTTAGTTCGATTATATTGTATGTGAGTCATTTTACAAGACATCAAAATTTGTCCTTTTTTGGTAGTAGAAGAATGCAAATCGTGATTGACTAGCATAATAGGGCTTATAGAAAGCATTTCTAGTTTTCATCCTTGCACTTTTGATTCACGTGGCTTTGCTTCCTTTGGTTTAGTTTAAAAGGAATTTCCTCAAATGAGTTATCTTTCCGTGGGATTGACATTTATTCTCGCTGATAATGGAGTAGTAACATTTGGGAAAGGTAATCTTGAGAAATTGCGCTTTACTGTAATGAATTGGAACGCGTTAATGCGACTATAAATGACGTGGTAGCCACTAATAACCCACCCGGTATAAGCTCATTGCAAAATGTGATTTCGGCTATATGAACTGAAAAGCAAAGAGGGCTGTAGTAAGTAAGCAATGCATTCATTTATCAAGAAGCCAAATATTTTTTTCTTGTGCTCCTCTGGTTGTATTCCATTTTTTCTTCCACAGCATTATTGCCACCGATGGTGCA